ATGTCTAGATACTCCTGACTGTTGAACCAAAGAAAAAAACTCAAACTTAATGTCGAGATAGTAAATACATCCAAGCTATTTGACAGGTTTCTAGTTTTTTTTACACAAGTCTCTTTGAAGATGGAAGAGACCATTATGAGGGAGGTTAGGGCTTCTAGGGGTAGTGTGCCAGAGCGTAAATTTATTTGAAGTGGCATCACAAAGGCCCAATACCAAATCTTGATGAGTATAGACAAAGGGGTTCAGAGACCAGAACAGGGTATCAATGGGGCTGACTAAAATAAAGTTCTGAAAAAGTTATCATGCCCTATGGTGGTCATACACGTGGAAAAATTCTTATTCCTACTTCAGAGGAGGTGAATCAAATTACCAGGTTCAACTCTCCTCCAATATCACAAGAATTGAAAGATTCTCTAATTCTTATTCCCTTTTTTTTTTTTTTGAAAGAAAGAGTTTTATTTATTCAAACCAAAATTACAAGAATTAAGGTAAGCAAAGCTTTACAAGAAACAAATAGCCAAATATGGCTTTAATCCTTCAAGACAAAATTTTCAACAAAATTCTTTTAACAAAGCTAATCTGCCCATCCACCTGCAACACCCTGTATTAGACTGCCCACTTCAGTGCTAAGGAAAAACCATCCCCATCAGCCTTTATCATCAAAGACCATCAATTTTCGAACCCTCAACCCAGGCATTCCACGCTGGTCCTGCATCAGCAGAAGCTTCGTCATCCTGGGCAGCTGCTCAACAGTTGAAAAATCTGTTGAAGCCCTATCCTGGACAGCTTTATTTGCCAAACTATCAGCTACACATTTAGCTTCTCGATAGACATGAACAATTTGAAACTCACAACCCCTTAAAAGCTCTCTAATTTCAAACAATAAACGCAAACAAGACCATGCACATCTCATCTTCTCTTGTAACGTTTTAACAAGCACCATAGAATCTGATTCAATAATAATACAATGCACCATCAGCCCATACTCCTTAACTAGCCATAACTCATCCAGAAGCGCATTAAACTCTGCCATCATATTTGTACACTGCCCATAGAAGAATGACGCAGCCACTACCATTCTGCCTGCTTCATTACGAAGGATAGCACCTCCCCCAGCTAACCCTGGGTCGCCTTTCGCTGTCCCATCAGTATTCAACTTTATCGTACTAGCAACAGGACACCCCCAAGAAACCCATACTGCCTTCCTCACCACTCTACAATGCCCCATCAGTATTCTCTAATTCTTATTCCTATTTTAGAGCGTTGAATCTAATTTTTTTTTTAATAGGAAATGGGATAATGTATTAACAAAAATCGAATAGTACATCTCAACGGTTGGATAATAAATCCAATCAGTAGAATGAAAAAGAAAAAACACTTCACAAAAGTACATTGTAACGCAAAAAAATATTTATCTCAACTAGTTTGAGTGAATCCTGATGCCCCATTCTGCTCTATCAAAGAAAAAACTCTTGTATAATGGCACTGGGCAGCATATAAAAACAAGAACCCACTGGTCATGGTGAGACTATGAATTTGGTTCTGGTACTTTGAATTGTGTTGAATATGCACGCAAGGTTTCAATTGACCATGTAGTCTCTGACATATGGCCATGGAGGAAGCAAGCTTTCATGCCCTTTGTTCATAAATATTTTCAAGAACAGGTACCGGTGGTCCATATATCAATTCACAGCGGTCGATGAATGACTTAACAACTTGAGAGACCACCTCCTTAAAAAACATGTTTGCCACCTGTTAGACATCAACCGAGTTAGAATGCTTCAAACTGCTATTCAGCAGGGTAAAAGACATCAATCGAGAAACTTTAAACCTTCGGAAAGATTTATATTAACCAAGAAGATTGCAAGAACCTTGTAACTATTCACCACACTGATACTCATCAATAAGATAATCAAGAAAGTCCTCTCAAACACAAATCGACAAACTAAACACTAATGTCACTGCTTCAAAGTAATCCATATAGGGATTAGTGTGAAGCTTGGACAGTGGACAGCTGCGAGCCTGCGCAAATTATGAGCTTGGAAAAAAAAATTGAGAATCAGAAGGTAAATTAATTCAAAAAGCTCAAACAAACATTCTAGTTGATACACAAACAAGCACTTGTTTTCCTAAAAAGCATCATTGGAGAAATTTCATGCTGTGTCTGTTGGACCACTTAGTTATTAACTATTATATGCCTGTAAATCTAGAAACCATTTACCCAGTGCTCCCAATTGTCAAACATGTCAATTTTTTTTTTTAGCTTTGACCCAGTACACAAGCGGATTCGGCCTTGGTAAACCTACGTCCAGAGGCAAAGAGAGGAGCCAATTCACTACAGTGATCAATATATGAGGCAAAGTCTCAGCTAAAACCTCAATACAACCAAAATGAGCCTTTCATCAAATCTCTAAACTCTGAAGCCAATATGCAGAAATTGAACATTTTGATCAAGTCAAAATCCAGTTTAATTGAACTTGCACATTAATTGTANAGTATAAATGATACATTATTCTTCCTTTGTGTTTGGTTAGATGGATGGAAAATAAAAATAACTAATTTTTTTTATTCTTTTTTGTGCTGATTATGATTAAGGATGATAATCAAGTCGTGCAGTGTCAGATTCGTATTGAGTCATAAATTTATAAATTTTTTATATTTCTTGTTCGCACGTCAAGTCCTTTTCAAGTTCGTGTCATAACATTTGTGTCAACTTCCGAGTCATATCATCGTGTTAAGTCAAAAATTTTTACTCCTAGCTAAAATGAAAAAAATATTTTTATAATTTAAATTTTTTATTTTATTTATTTTTATTTAATTTTTTTTTTAATGATATACATATTTTATCATTGTATTTTTATATAAAATTAATATATACATAATATATAGACAAATAAAATATATCTCAAAATAAATAATTAATTTTTTATCCACTTTCCTTCCGATTTTAGAGGTATTAATTTTGATGAGTTGAAAAAAAAATAAATTCATCAACTTTTCCATCCTTTTTATTTTCCTTCCTTACCAAACATAATATTTTATTTATTCTTCTAACTTTTCCTCCTTCCATTTTTTTATCATACCCAACAGAACATTAGTGTTGTCATCCATACTCTCAATTTGTTGTCTTTCACTTCTATAGTACTTTTCTTCGAAAATNAATATAAATGATACATTATTCTTCATTTGTGTTTGGTTAGATGGATGAAAAATAAAAATAACTAATTTTTTTTATTCTTTTTTGTGCTGATTATGATTAAGGATGATAATCAAGTCGTGCAGTGTCAGATTCGTATTGAATCATAAATTTATGAATTTTTTATATTTCTTGNCCCATCTGCCTTGTTTAACTGAGATTCATCTCTTCTGAAATTGATCTTTGCCCAACAGCCATCTTGAAGAACCTTATACTGTCGCAGACAACAAAAATGATAGTGATAATAAAGTCTAAAAGAGTATAGATTACTGTCAGGAAGGCAGCAAACTAAACAGAATGAAAAACNAATCATAAATTTATGAATTTTTTATATTTCTTGTTCACACGTCAAGTCCTTTTCAAGTTCGTGTCATAACATTTGTGTCGACTTCCGAGTCATATCATCGTGTTAAGTCAAAAATTTTTACTCCTAGCTAAAATGAAAAAAATATTTTTATAATTTAAATTTTTTTATTTATTTATTTTTATTTAATTTTTTTTTTNAATTTCAGACCTGGCCAGAAGGGACACAGTTACTGGCATGCATTTGCCTGGAGGATTGGGGATCCAATGAGTTGTTTCTTTGCGGGCTCCAACGAAGTAAACCAAAAGAACTGTACAACTGGTCAACANTTATTTATTTATTTTTATTTAATTTTTTTTTTAATGATATACATATTTTATCATTGTATTTTTATATAAAATTAATATATACATAATATATAGACAAATAAAATATATCTCAAAATAAATAATTAATTTTTTATCCACTTTCCTTCCAATTTTAGAGGTATTAATTTTGATGAGTTAAAAAAAAAATAAATTCATCAACTTTTCCATCTTTTTTATTTTCCTTCCTTACCAAACATAATATTTTATTTATTCTTCTAACTTTTCCTCCTTCCATATTTTTATCATATTTTTATCATACCCATCAGAACATTAGTGTTATCATCCATACTCTCAATTTGTTGTCTTTCACTTCTATAGTACTTTTCTTCGAAAATTTTCTACGAAAGACGAATTCAAAACAATAAACAAACAAAACGAACAGAGGCCTAACAATATACCTTTAACATCTACACCTCCTCCAAAAAGCTAGTACATTGTGCCTTTCATTTCCAAGAGCAATTGGCCACTTACTTTCCTTTCTCTTCTGGGTTTAGTTTCTAAAATCTCCACTTCATCTCCACGTGTGATCGAGGCATACAGTGACCAAATAGCCCACGACTTAATATTCTCTCGTCTAATATTGCCTTGACCGAGCTCTTCATCAAATACAATGTGCACATAAAACGCAGCTTATGCAGCCTAGAACCAACAAAACACATGCACTCACCAATTGCCAGACCACAAGCAGCAGCTCAATTTGTGACCAAGGCACCTGAGGTATTTTCAGAAGTCATAGATTCCAGTTTACAGTTTGGTGATCTAGTTAAAATTACCAGACACTAAAAATCAGTGTTTACCACAAAAAATGTACAGCCTGCATGTTACCTGTCCACCAAATCACAAATTCAACATACACAATTGGCAATTCCATTGCCAGTAGCTTGTCATAAAGGAGAAGAGAAATCTACTAGTCAACCACCACAGCTTCGATTACAAACTTTATTGAAGCCCCGAAGCACAAGCCGATGTGATTTGAGAAATAGCCTCCTCATGCTTTGAAGCAAATACATCTACTCTTGCTAATCCATTTGCAGGTTCAGTAGACAGCAGCATAATCTTCAATCTTGTTATACTTATTTCAGAAATCCTACATATGATCAAATCCCCCCCCCCCCCTCTTTTCCCACTCTCTCTCGCATGAGTTTTAACATTTTAAAATCACAGAAATAAATATATTAATATGCCTCAAACATCTCTCTCCATTACTTCCCAGTTTAGGAATATAATGCAGTTCAACTCCAATCACAGTAGTTGCCAACATTACTTTCAAGTCGCCAATCACCACAACAAGAAGGCTCTACTTTTTTGGGGAAACACAATTCCCCCCAACATCTTCTGATTCAGGAAACTTACCAAAAGGAACAACCTGAGAGAGCAATTGAGAGATAAACTGGTGACCATAGAACATAATACACATCACATAATCCACGGATGCTAATTAGTGATATCTAGACATTACTTGATCATTGCTCGAAGAAGCAACTACTGTAGCTTTCATCCTTTTGGCGATGGACATCACACTTGAGTTCTCTTTCTCAGCATCAGCATTGACGAAGTTTTGATCTGACACCTCTGCAAGTCCCAGAAAAGCATATTATGAAGCAACCAAACAAAAAATAAGTACAAAAATATGCCAGCACTTTGCCATTCTTACAGTATACTAATCGTGAAAACGCATTATGAAAAAATATAAGAAACTGTTGCTAGCATGCAAAGGAAGATGAATATTTCACAGGTAACAAAAAAAAGAAACAGCTGGGATCTACCTGCACTGCTTCCAATTGAATCATGGCCACATAAATGAGATTGAGACCCAGGAAACCGATTTGAAGCAGTAGCTAATGCAGGTTTTTTTCGGGAAGCAGATGTTTTAACCATGGGTCTGCATCCAGACCTAAAATGCCGAATCCATGGATTCGCTAAAAGAACACCAGGCCCATCTGCCTTGTTTAACTGAGATTCATCTCTTCTGAAATTGATCTTTGCCCAACAGCCATCTTGAAGAACCTTATACTGTCGCAGACAACAAAAATGATAGTGATAATAAAGTCTAAAAGAGTATAGATTACTGTCAGGAAGGCAGCAAACTAAACAGAATGAAAAACTTTCAGACCTGGCCAGAAGGGACACAGTTACTGGCATGCATTTGCCTGGAGGATTGGGGATCCAATGAGCTGTTTCTTTGCGGGCTCCAACGAAGTAAACCAAAAGAACTGTACAACTGGTCAACAAACGAAGCTTCCATAGATTTGAGATACAAACTATGCTTCTCATCTGTCCATTCAGTAGGCGTNCAATTTTAGAGGTATTAATTTTGATGAGTTAAAAAAAAAATAAATTCATCAACTTTTCCATCTTTTTTATTTTCCTTCCTTACCAAACATAATATTTTATTTATTCTTCTAACTTTTCCTCCTTCCATATTTTTATCATATTTTTATCATACCCATCAGAACATTAGTGTTATCATCCATACTCTCAATTTGTTGTCTTTCACTTCTATAGTACTTTTCTTCGAAAATTTTCTACGAAAGACGAATTCAAAACAATAAACAAACAAAACGAACAGAGGCCTAACAATATACCTTTAACATCTACACCTCCTCCAAAAAGCTAGTACATTGTGCCTTTCATTTCCAAGAGCAATTGGCCACTTACTTTCCTTTCTCTTCTGGGTTTAGTTTCTAAAATCTCCACTTCATCTCCACGTGTGATCGAGGCATACAGTGACCAAATAGCCCACGACTTAATATTCTCTCGTCTAATATTGCCTTGACCGAGCTCTTCATCAAATACAATGTGCACATAAAACGCAGCTTATGCAGCCTAGAACCAACAAAACACATGCACTCACCAATTGCCAGACCACAAGCAGCAGCTCAATTTGTGACCAAGGCACCTGAGGTATTTTCAGAAGTCATAGATTCCAGTTTACAGTTTGGTGATCTAGTTAAAATTACCAGACACTAAAAATCAGTGTTTACCACAAAAAATGTACAGCCTGCATGTTACCTGTCCACCAAATCACAAATTCAACATACACAATTGGCAATTCCATTGCCAGTAGCTTGTCATAAAGGAGAAGAGAAATCTACTAGTCAACCACCACAGCTTCGATTACAAACTTTATTGAAGCCCCGAAGCACATGCCGATGTGATTTGAGAAATAGCCTCCTCATGCTTTGAAGCAAATACATCTACTCTTGCTAATCCATTTGCAGGTTCAGTAGACAGCAGCATAATCTTCAATCTTGTTATACTTATTTCAGAAATCCTACATATGATCAAATCCCCCCCCCCCCCTCTTTTCCCACTCTCTCTCGCATGAGTTTTAACATTTTAAAATCACAGAAATAAATATATTAATATGCCTCAAACATCTCTCTCCATTACTTCCCAGTTTAGGAATATAATGCAGTTCAACTCCAATCACAGTAGTTGCCAACATTACTTTCAAGTCGCCAATCACCACAACAAGAAGGCTCTACTTTTTTGGGGAAACACAATTCCCCCCAACATCTTCTGATTCAGGAAACTTACCAAAAGGAACAACCTGAGAGAGCAATTGAGAGATAAACTGGTGACCATAGAACATAATACACACCACATAATCCACGGATGCTAATTAGTGATATCTAGACATTACTTGATCATTGCTCGAAGAAGCAACTACTGTAGCTTTCATCCTTTTGGCGATGGACATCACACTTGAGTTCTCTTTCTCAGCATCAGCATTGACGAAGTTTTGATCTGACACCTCTGCAAGTCCCAGAAAAGCATATTATGAAGCAACCAAACAAAAAATAAGTACAAAAATATGCCAGCACTTTGCCATTCTTACAGTATACTAATCGTGAAAACGCATTATGAAAAAATATAAGAAACTGTTGCTAGCATGCAAAGGAAGATGAATATTTCACAGGTAACAAAAAAAAGAAACAGCTGGGATCTACCTGCACTGCTTCCAATTGAATCATGGCCACATAAATGAGATTGAGACCCAGGAAACCGATTTGAAGCAGTAGCTAATGCAGGTTTTTTTCGGGAAGCAGATGTTTTAACCATGGGTCTGCATCCAGACCTAAAATGCCGAATCCATGGATTCGCTAAAAGAACACCAGGCCCATCTGCCTTGTTTAACTGAGATTCATCTCTTCTGAAATTGATCTTTGCCCAACAGCCATCTTGAAGAACCTTATACTGTCGCAGACAACAAAAATGATAGTGATAATAAAGTCTAAAAGAGTATAGATTACTGTCAGGAAGGCAGCAAACTAAACAGAATGAAAAACTTTCAGACCTGGCCAGAAGGGACACAGTTACTGGCATGCATTTGCCTGGAGGATTGGGGATCCAATGAGCTGTTTCTTTGCGGGCTCCAACGAAGTAAACCAAAAGAACTGTACAACTGGTCAACAAACGAAGCTTCCATAGATTTGAGATACAAACTATGCTTCTCATCTGTCCATTCAGTAGGCGTTGATTCTCTCGCCTGAGATTCCTGAGATTAATGTATCTCAATGAAAAACAGGAATCTTCTTCAAAAAGAAGTTTCATATTTAGAATAGCCAAGGAGAAACATATCGATATGCATATGTGGTTGGCATCGTAAGCATCAATGTCAAAGATAATAGTGACATCAAGAAAGTAGTCATCAGCACATGGAATTGATTCACCGCCAAAAAATAAATAAACAGATAAATCGCCCACGTTTGCAAGGTTGTTAGCAGTCTAGCAAATAATTCACCACATTTGCAAGGTTGCTAGCGTTCTAACTGTTTCTGCATGTATTGAAATCTTTTCATTGTACCTTAATTACTTCAAACTCACATCCATTCCAGAAAACAAGGGCACAAACAATCAGAACTGCAAAACAAAACAAAACAAAACAAACAACGACAAAACAGAAGCTGAGAAAAAAGGAAATAAAATTCTTTGTCTTGAGATGTGCACTGGTTTCTCCNGATTTGAAGCAGTAGCTAATGCAGGTTTTTTTCGGGAAGCAGATGTTTTAACCATGGGTCTGCATCCAGACCTAAAATGCCGAATCCATGGATTCGCTAAAAGAACACCAGGCCCATCTGCCTTGTTTAACTGAGATTCATCTCTTCTGAAATTGATCTTTGCCCAACAGCCATCTTGAAGAACCTTATACTGTCGCAGACAACAAAAATGATAGTGATAATAAAGTCTAAAAGAGTATAGATTACTGTCAGGAAGGCAGCAAACTAAACAGAATGAAAAAATTTCAGACCTGGCCAGAAGGGACACAGTTACTGGCATGCATTTGCCTGGAGGATTGGGGATCCAATGAGCTGTTTCTTTGCGGGCTCCAACGAAGTAAACCAAAAGAACTGTACAACTGGTCAACAAACGAAGCTTCCATAGATTTGAGATACAAACTATGCTTCTCATCTGTCCATTCAGTAGGCGGTGATTCTCTCGCCTGAGATTCCTGAGATTAATGTATCTCAATGAAAAACAGGAATCTTCTTCAAAAAGAAGTTTCATATTTAGAATAGCCAAGGAGAAACATATCTATATGCATATGTGGTTGGCATCGTAAGCATCAATGTCAAAGATAATAGTGACATCAAGAAAGTAGTCATCAGCACATGGAATTGATTCACCGCCAAAAAATAAATAAACAGATAAATCGCCCACGTTTGCAAGGTTGTTAGCAGTCTAGCAAATAATTCACCACATTTGCAAGGTTGCCAGCGTTCTAACTGTTTCTGCATGTATTGAAATCTTTTCATTGTACCTTAATTACTTCAAACTCACATCCATTCCAGAAAACAAGGGCACAAACAATCAGAACTGCAAAACAAAACAAAACAAAACAAACAACGACAAAACAGAAGCTGAGAAAAAAGGAAATAAAATTCTTTGTCTTGAGATGTGCACTGGTTTCTCTCATCTCCGCACACAATACACACGCACACACAGAGCAACTGAACCACTCTGTGGTTTAAATTTGTCATTTCCGAACCTTATCATCCCAAACAACTGGTAAATCTCAATGCCACAAAAATGATGAGCTGGACAAAAGTAGAACTAAGCTTCTTGTCTATTGTATTTAATCTGTAGTTTCTGGATAGGTAACTATTGTTGACTGTAGTAACTTTCTACAAAATACACCCTCCAAAAAAAATAAAAACTAGACCACTTCAAAATTAATGCCTTTCTTCGTCCCCTCCCCCCTCCCTCTCTCTTATACACTTCTTTATGTGTATAA